ATATGCATAATGCCAGCAGCTATAATCATTCATGGTCACCTTCCAGACCACGATGAAGCCACATTCTCCTGACCACCACATTGTGTGGGACCTCTGATTCTTGGTTGTTTAACATTTATCTGGGGAATAAAACACGATTCCTAAGACCAAAGCAGATGACCAGGATTGCTCTGAGGTCACCCCATGGGCCAAGAAGTCCCAGCAGCTCTGGGTTTTTGCTCAGTCTAGATTTTCCTAATATTTTGGTATTAAGAACTTGTTGTTAGATGGAGCGGTTGGGGACTCTGGACTCAGGGAGGGACAGGGGCTGTGTGCTGATGGCCGGGAGGCAGTCTTTGGTTGTTTGATGATGCATGGAGGGGTTTGTAACCATTGCAATGAAACGAAATACGACAGGGTGAATAGAAAGCTGATGTTCTCCCATGTAAACTATCACTCAATTCACAATAAAAACTTAACAACAAAAAAAAAAACCCAAAAACCCCTTGTTATTGTTGTGGGCCGATGAGTCTATTCCGACTCATAGCAACCTTATAGAAGAGAGGAGAAGAACTTTTTAGGCTATATATACTTTTTATAGGGATAGTCTTTTCTCTCACAAGAGTTCAAACCACTGACCTTTTAGTTAGTTTGTTGTTTACGAGCTGTCCAGTTGGTTTCTACTCATAGCAACTCTGTATAGGGTTTTCAAGGCTTTAAATCTTTGCAGAAGCAGAAAGCCTCATCGTTTTCCCACAGAGCGGCTGGTGGGCTTGAACTGCTGACGTTGTGGTTCACAGTCCAGTGCTTATCCTATGGAGCCACTGCACTCCCCTTTTGGTTAGTAGCAAGTACTTAACTACTGTGCCACCAGGGCTCCTATTGAAAGCCTCTCTCTGCAACTTTCAAATGAGCCAAACTCAACTAAAGCCCAAACACATTGGTGCTGAATGCACTCTGCCTCTCAACAACCTACAGGACAGAGTAGAACTGTGATCTTTACAGAAGCTGATGGGCTCATCTTTCTCCCAAGAGGCAGATGGTAAATTCAGCCACTGACTTTCTGGTTAGCAGTCAAGTTCTTAACCACTGTGCCACCTGCAGAGCTAAAACCACATTACCATAATTGATTAATTATCAAAACACCCTCTTCCTGTACACATTTTAGGCTTGTACCCCAGAAATTAAGTCAAAAGGATTAGAACACACACAAAACATTTGTATTTGTATATTGTTGTTAAGTGCTGTTGAGTCGATTCTGACTCAAAGCTGCCCTGTATATGGTTTCTGCAGAGCAGCTGGTGAGTTTGAACTGCTGACCTCACGGTTCTAACCAACCTTGTGGTCCAGTGCATTATCCTGCACTGCCACACCAGGTCTCTGTACACAACAATAAAAAGGCATCACAATAAATGAGGTGAATTCAATACTGTTGGGAGAATACTGGGAAGAGCCTGAGTTTTATAATCATGTATATTACAAAGGAGCCCTGGGAACATACTGAGTTGTGTTGGGCTGTGAACTGCAAGGTCAGCAGTTTGAGTCCACCAGCAGCTCCACAGGAGAAAGACAAGGCTCTCTGTTCCTGTAAGGATTTATAACCTTGGAAACCCAATGCAGGGTCATTATGAATTGGAACTGACTCGACGGCACACCACTACCACCACCACGCCACCACCAAATGTGGATGGACTATGGGCTCAACACCTGCTATCTGTGTGACCTTGAGAAATGAATTAACTTCTGCCAGCCTCAGTTTCTTCAATTGCAAATGAGCTAATAAGAGCTACTTTGAAGTGTTGGATGAGGATTAAATATGTCCAGTCAAGCACTACCCACAGTTGCTGGTTCATCCCAAGTACTCAGCACAGGTTACTTTCTAAGGTTATTAGGCTACTCCAGAAACCCTATCAATCTAAAAAATGGTCACAAATATGAGAGTAATACATTTATCCCTAGAATTTTTCTAGAATTTCATCAGAAAAATTAGCAGCTTTTATTTAAAGATGGAGTTGCCATTTCTACTTAGGGGACTAGACTGAGGCCAAACTTTATTTCACACTGTACCATCAAATAGTGTTTTAATAATTCATTCTAACTGCCTCTTGAACTAGAATGTGAGTGGGGATTGAGGAGTGAGGAATGGGTAGACCAGCCCTGGGAGTTTTTAAAAAGTGTGCATATAAACATTTCTTCTTATGTTTATCAGTATAACTCTGCCAACAGGAATCAGACTCAGGACATTCTGCTACATCATACAATACAATAAAACTGACAGACTCATCAATTTCGAAGATGAGTCTAATTCCATCCATTTCTTGTGCTATTCATCTGTATAATGCAACCAAAATTAAAAGAGTATCATTTAAGGAACAACAGCAACAAAGGGCAGTAAAACCAGTCCTACCTGGAGCACACGTTCCTGCTCCTGTTGCCATTTTTCCTGTCGCCTACGTTCCTCTTCCGGGTCCCATGCCCAGAATTTAAACTGCTTAGGAAAACAGAATCATGATCAGAGTTAAGCCATAGACTCTAAGGACAGACACATGAACACAGTCAACATCTGGCTTAGCTCTCAGATGGAAACGCAAAAACAAGCTTTCATGTATCTGAAGACCCTCCTTGGTTGGCAGAAGCCATTTATCAATCTTGGTCCCTCTTTGGTTTTCTTCTAAGATGATGATAAGATTCATGGAACCTTTTTGGAACTAATGGTAACATGGAGTAATTTGCCACTGGCATGAGATGGCATGTGCGTCATTTCTCTGAGACATGATTTCTTAAATGCATGAATGCTCCTGAGTATAAGAAACTCATCCTGCATATTGGTCCTGGGTCCCCTAAGCCAAGCAAATGGATTATTTCTGCAGAACTGTACAGACACACAACTTTCTCTCAGAGTGGTGTTTGCAGTACTATAGCTCACTGCCATTCCTATAGCTCAGAGTAGAACTGCCCATGTGGTTTCCAAGGATGTAATCTCTATCGAGCCTTAGTATGGTGCTGTAGAATAAGCACTGGACTGCTCACTATACGATTGGAAGTTCAAACCCATCAGCTGGTCTCAGAAACCCTATACAGGGTCACTATGTGTCAGAACTGACTTGATGGTACACAGTAACAACAACAACACATCTTTACTGAAAGAGCCAGGTGGTGCAATGGGTTAAGCAGTGGACTGCTAACTGCAAGGTTGGTGGTTTGAATCCACCAACCACTCTGAGGGAGAAAGGCAAGGCTGTCTGTTCCCGTAAAGATGTATGGTCTTGGAAATCCTAAGGAGCAGGTCTACTCTGTCTTGTGGGGTAGCTATGAGTCAGAATTGACTCATTGGCAATAAGTTTAGTTTTGGTAATTTTTATAAAAATTAGACTGCTACATCTTTCCCCAGTGGAATGGCTGGTGGGTTCAAACCACTGACCTTTCAGTTAGCAGTGAAGCTTTTAACCACTGTGCCACCAGGTCTCCCTCATTAGTGCAAAGCTTATCTTTTATACTAATCTCACATTCCCACACCAGCTTTCTCTAAAGTAGGGTCTTTAATTCATTCCAGACATGGAAGTCTCCGTCCAAGGCCTCTTATAATATGCATACTCAAACCCAAGCCTTATTATTTTTTTTTTTTTTTACTCTTTTATGTGAAGGTTTATTTTATTATTTTTTTTGAGTTTGGTAACTAAATGAGTGAATGGGAGTGATGGGAGAGGGAGACATAAACAAAAGCAGGTGCCCAGGACATAAAATACAAGGATGGAGTGAGTGTACTGGGAAGAAAAAAAGAGCAAATGAGAGGTCATAGCATTTAAAGCTGGTGGCTCCAGTCACCCAGAGTAGGTGCCTAGGCAGACCATGTTCCCTAATAAACTGTGCTCCCTCTCTTCCCTCTGTATTGATGGTGAATTTGGTATTGCAAATAGTCAAGAAAGCACTCGACTGCTAACCAAACAGATGGTGGTTTGTACATCTGTACACCTGGGTGGGTCACAAGGCGTTGGAATGGACTGAGCAGAGTTCAGTTTTGTTGCTGTTTTTGTGGTTTAGAAGTACCTGGGAATTCTGCAAAGCGAGGCCGAGTTAGGTGACTTCTGGATGGTGTTGGGGCCAAGGGAGCAGGCAGAATCTAAGTACTCTGAAGTCTGGGAAGCTGGAGAGGGTGAGTTTGTGTCCTACCCTGATGCATGTGATCAAACTCAGGCACATGGTGGCAAGGCGAGCCCAGGGGAGAGTCTCCAGGGAGAATGGGATCCCTGGTAACAAAGCAGCTCAGGCTATGGGCATTGATTGATTTACAGCTTTAATCTATTGGTAAATACAGAGTGTGGATCTTAATTTGTTCTCTTGCTGTGGATCCTGGATATGGCATGGATGGTCATGATGCCAAAATAGTCACTTAGGTAGGGGCAAACAAGTTCAGGAAATACATGTTCTGTATGCCGTTCTTAGGCTTCACACCTCGTGTTAGCATTTTAAAGGCTTTGACAAGTACTGCAAGGGGAGGAAACCATTGAATTTTAGGTGTGAATTTCTCATATTTCTTTGTACAACCTTTGAAATCAGTTCTATGGAGCCCAGATGGAAATGTATTGGTGTTGTATGATGTTGGAAGTCTCCTAAGACTTTGTTGTTGTTGTTAAGTGCTGTCAAGTCAGTTTCAACTCATAGCAACCCTGAACAGGGTTTTCTAAGGAGTGGCTGGTGGGTTTGAATCATCAACCTTGTGGTTAGTAGTTCAGAGCTTATCCTACAATGCAGTTTAAATCTTCAGAACTTTTCTCTTAGGGACACGTCCTATTGTCTTTTGAAGGAAAAGGGCATATGTCAATAAAGTGAGAGGAAAACAAGTAGGAAAAGTTCACTAGTAGGGAAACGAAAGAAACAACTGGGAATTACTTAACATTCAGATTTCACTGGGTAGTGTAATCTTAAGAGTAGAAGGATCCCTAGTGGCACAATGGTGAAGCATTTGGCTGCTAACTAACAGGCTGTGGTTCGAACCTACTAGCCATTCTGTGGGAGAAAGGACTTGGCACTTTGCTCCTGTAAAGATTTCAACCTAGGTCACCCGATGGGGCAGTTCCCATTATCTAGCTTTGCTCTGAATTGGAATCAACTTGACATCACACAATAACAGTCTTAAGAATAAAACAAAGGTGTTTGACTGTCTTGTGGATATTAGTTTCCCTTGCCTATTATTGTAAAATAGACATTTAAATGGGATAGAAAGGAATATTGAGAGATATGATTGCAGAAAGTCTGTAAGTCCATCTTCAGCCCATAACTGACTGGAATACCTAAGAGGGGTTCTAGAACTTCCCTAGTGAAATAGGCTTCTTGTGGAGCCTTTGTAGAGTATGAGGCCTTAGGTAGATCCCAAAAACTTCAGAGGTGGGACAGTTCCCTTTGAAAGGACATACATTCAAATTAATCCAGAGCATCTAGAGTAACAGAAAATACTTCTTGACAGAAAAACCAACAAGTGCGAAAAAAATCCCCCAAATACAAAAAAACAGACTGTTTGGCTATTACAAGAACAAATGAGCTGTTTGCCTAGTAGCCATATAGGCAAGCCATCAAGGGCCTTCAGGACAAACCTATTTCCAAGACTGAAACTCAAAAGGAACACATGAGCAGTCTTGTAAGCTTGCTGGTGACCACAACGGTCTACTTGTGAGTGAAAGTGGGGGAAAGGCAGTAATGAAGTCATGGGCTGAGTCCAACCATGTTCCGTACACTCCTGTCGACCGTGAGGAGAGACAGAGAAGAGGAGGGGCTGGTTGGCCTGAAGTTTGGGGAGACTTGGGAACTCCAAAGCCCGAGGACACTGACCTAGTCACTGGAACTAGAGCTGAGAGTGAAGTGTCCAGCTGATATGAAATGGGGGAAGCACACAAGAATGCCCAAACTTGAAGATAGTACCCATTTGACCTATCTTGCATGGCTTGAAGATCAGAACTTGACTAGAGAAAGATAAAGAAGTTTGCTACAGCAATCAAATATAAATTGCTATAATTTGATGAACTTGACTTTTGCTTATGGATGAAGTTGCTCAAAATGCCGAGGGGGGAGGAGTCTTCACATCAAAGATGAAGCCCATACCCTCAGTACACAGGGTTGATAGGGATGGGCAACTTAGACATTGGCTATCTAAAATGGGGGAGGATTATAAAGGCACAAAGTGGCTGGCTTGCAAGTTTTCAAGAGGGAATTTAGTTTCAGAGTGAAGGCGGGAAGATATAGAGACCCCACTGAATAGTTTTCATCTTGTCTAGATGGGGCTGGTGAAAGGAGATGGGCATAGAATTCTTTTGATTCAGTAGTGAGTAATTGTTATCATGGCTAATAGAGATTACCGCAATTATAAATGTAGAAGATGTGTAACAAGAGGGGAAGTAGTTAATCTTACATTCCAGGAACAGAGGACCCTAGGACCATCAGGAGGGAAAAGCATGAGTGGAACATGGGATCCTAACCAGAGAAGCAACAACACCAGAGACAGATGCAGGGGTGATGGCATGGAGAAATAGAGCATCTGAGGACTCTAGACTCATGGAAAGAGAAAGGCTGTGTGCTGGCAGGTAGGAGGCTGACTTGCAAAATGTGCCCTTTGGTTGTTTAAATGATTTATACACTCCTGCATGTTTCTGTGTACATCAAAAAAAAAGGGGGTAGGGGGTGGGAACAGAGGCAAATACTGGTAACTGATGGTGCATGGAGGGGATTGTAGTTATTGCAATGAAACAAAATACAATTGGTTGAGTACAAAACGATGTTCTGCCATGTAAACCATCACTCAATTCACAATAAAAATTAAAAAAAAAATTTTTAAATTAAAAAATAAACTCGACAGTTTTTTAATGGTTAAAAAAAAAAAGAATAAATTTTAATAAAGAGTAGGCAGATAGGAAGAGAACATGTGTGCTGACGGGATGGAAAACAGAAAAGAACCTGGGATATTTGCTAAATTGAGAGAGAAGAGTAACACACATTCTAAGAAGAAAAACACCAGTAAAGGAAACAAGAGGGAAGAAGAAATTAGTGACCTCACTTCTTTCTTTGGGGATATTTACTGATCACTTAATATGGGCCAGGTGGGCATACCAGGTGGCCAAGAGATAGCCTGAGCTTAGTGGAGCTATAAGTAATATCATGATAAAGGAGAAGAAATTGAAGTTGTCAAGGATTTCATTTTACTTGGACCCACAATCAATCCACTGGAAGCAGCAGTCAAGAAATCAAATGATGTATTGCATGGTGCAAATCTGCTGCACAAGATCTCTTTAAAGTGGTAAAAACAAAGATGTCACTTTGAAACTAATATACACTTGACCATGGTATTTTCAACTGGCTCATATGTATGTGAAAGTTGAACAATAAATAAGGAAACACAAATAAGAATTAAAGCCTTTGAATTATGGTGTGGAAAAAAGAATATTGGCTATACCATGAACTACAGTAAGAATGAACAAATCTGTGTATGAAGAAATACAGCCATAATGCTCCTTAGAGGCAACAAGGATGGTGACACTTCATCTCACATGCTTTGGGAATGTTAACAGAAGAGACCAGGACATCATCCTTTCATACGTAGAGGGTCAGTGAGAAAAAATTTACTCAGTGGCTATAACAATGGCTCAAGCATAACAAAGATTGTGAGGATGGCATAGGATTGTGCAGCGTGTGTTTGTTTTTTTCTCTCTCTCTATTGTTCCAAAGACTTAAAGCCTCTGAAACGCTACATCAGGTTGCTATGAGTTGGAACTGGCTTGAAGGCACCTAACAATAATACCCCAAGTATGATCGAGTCAATTTTAACTCATAGTGACACTGTATAGGGTTTTTGAGGCTGTAAAGATTCACAGGAGCGGAAAGCTTCTTCTTTCTACCACAGAGCAGATGTTGGATTCGAGCTGATGGCATTCGAGCTGATGGCTACAGTCCAATGCATACCCCACTATGCCACCAGGGCTCCTTCTAACAGTATGTCATTGTTGTTGTAAGGTGCCATCGAGTTGTTTCCAACTCATAATGCCTCTGTATTCAATTTCTGAAGAGTGGCTGGCGGGTTTGAAATGCCAACCTTATGCTTCTCCTACAGTGCTTATCCTATAGTTCCATAACTAGTAGAACTTAACACTGAGTGAAAACAACCCTGCAACACAGTGTTTGACAGGTAGATACATAAACAGGTAAACAGGCAGAAAGGCCATGGGAGGGAGAGTGGGAGTGTGCCCACAAGTAGATAAGGGTTTGACAGAAGATATTTGTACATGGGTATTTCCCTTTGCTGCAAACACACATAGGAATGTGGTGGAGTACACAGGGCAGGGGAAAATGAACATTTCTTAGACATTACCAAATACCTTGAAGAAACAAGTTGCTAGGTCAGAAAGCTCAGGCCCATAGTGTCAGGGGATACCATGGTCCATTGGCATAACACAGTCCCCAAAGATAATGTTCTACATCCTATTTTGGTGAGTAGTGATGGGATCTTAAAAGCTCATGAGTGGCCATCTAAGGACTAACTATTGGTCTCTCTGTGTGCACAGAAGAGAAGAGTGATGAAAACTGAAGATGCTTGGAATCAGCTAGCCCAATGGACCAATGTGAACATCAGTCTTCACGACCCTGAGACCAGAAGAACTAGGTGGTCCCTGATTACCAGTACTCACTGCTATGAAAGGGGGTATATTAGAAGGTCCCAGACAGAGTAAGAGAAAATGTGGAACAAAACTCAAAATTTATTTACAAGATCAGGCTTACATGTCAGAAAGACTGGAGGAACCCAAGACTATGGCTCTTCGTCACCCTTCAGGTCTGGAACTGAACTCACTCTCATGGTTCAATTTTCAGCCAAGTGAAAGATAAGGCATACAGAGGGTGGTGGGCAACAACATTATCAAGGTCTGCTCACCATGGAATAGTCAACCATTCAAGATCAAAAGGGCAACACTGACCTAAGGACAAAGTTGAGAAGGACTGAGGAGGGTGGACTGGAAATAAGAACCCCAGGGAGGAAGTGGGATAACTGATGTTACATGGAAGGGATTGCAAATCACTGAGATGGAACAAAGTCTATGAATTGTTGAATGCAAGCTGATGATCTGCTCTGTAAACTTTCACTCAATTCATGATAAAAAGTCTCCCAAAAATTGAGTAAGATCAATATACAACATAAATTTACTATCAGAAATCTATGTGATAACTATTATAAAAGAGTTTTTTACATCAATTCAGAATTTTTGAATTCAACAATTTCTATTAATTCAGATAATTTTACATTGCTGAATTGTGTATATTCTGTTCTGTGTATTCTCAAAAATAGCAATAAAGATAAATCATAAAAGGAACTGATGAAAGTCTGAATGGAGAATACTTAGCTGTCTTTGATTGACAATTTCTCTATTTATAGGTTTGTATTTTTCTCTGGCTTGAGGTTTCTTGAGGGTAGTTCCAGTTCTTTATCTTCCTAAATACCCCAACCTCCTTGCATTTTTGTTGTTGCTGTTGTTATATGCCGTGGAGTCAGTTCCGACTCATAGCAACCCTCTATAGGGTTTCTTAGGCTATAAATCTTTATGGGAGCAGAAAGCCTCGTCTTTCTCCAGTGGAACAGCTGGTAGTTTCAAACTGCTGACCATGAGATTAGCAGCCCGATTCATAACCACTATACTTTTTAGGCCCTCAATAAATGTTTAAATCAAAGAATGGAATCATCTCAAGCCGGGGTGAATCTCCTTCCTTCCTCCCCTTCTGAGTCCCCATAGCCATGGGCCAGTACCAGTCTGACCAAAAATAACACGTCTATTCAGGTCAACATAACCAAATACTATCTCATCTTCAAAGCTTTATTATTCTTCAGTTTCTTTTCTATGAAGGGCCACTTCCTATGGAAAGGACATTAACTTTGGTTGGGTATTTTCACTTATGTAGGTCAGCAATTGGCCTCTTCTTGCTCTATTTTCTATAAACCAGAGATGGGGATGTATCTCTTTGGAGCACTCTTCCTCTGCATCCAATCCAAGGAGTACAAGACCAACTTGCCTTTACTGTCTTAAAATGCTGTACCAGACATGCCAACTTTGGGATCCTCCAAGGGGTTCCCGTTCATCATGGCCAGATATCCCAGGAAACTCATGATTCCCAGTGCTGGTTTGGGACTGAGCCTTCACAAGTGACACCTGATTCTAGAATGTGGCTGGTGATGGGAAGATTATATGACAAGCAGGGGCCTCCATTCGGTGGAAGTCCTTAACAAATTCTCAAAGTGAGAAAATTCACCTGTGGATAACAACTGGTGTTGGCTAGGGTGAGGCTATTCTGACTCATAGCAACCCTGTAGAGGGTTTCCAAGATTGTAAATCTTTCTAAGAGCAGACAGTCTCTTCTTCCTCCCACAGAATGGCTAATGGGTTTAAACCGCTGATCTTGCAGTTAACAAATGCCTAACCCTCAGCACCACTAGGGCTTCTTTTAATTAAGATTCACAACCTTGAAATGCAGGTATTATATCTCATTGTATAGGTAAAGAGAACGAGGTTCAGAGAAGTTACGTAATACCTTCAGAGTCACACAGTAACTTGGGAGCCCTGACTCAAGATGGGATCAATGGAGCTGACCAGTGATTATGTGGCTGCATACAGGGGGCTTACGTCAAAGGAGACAGTTGGCTGTGTCATATCATCTACCACCAGCTGTCATCTATTTGACGCTGAGTCATGGTGACTTCATGTGTGTCAGAGGAGAACTACGCACCATAGGATTTTCAATGGCTGATTTTCCAGAAGTGTATTGCCACGCCTTTCTTCTTAGGTGCCTCTAGTTAGGCTTGAACCTCCTACATTTCAGTTAACAGCCAAGTTCATTAACTGTTTGTACTCCCCACAGACTCTGGTTGCACCCTACCAGTCTCCAAATCAGATAGGAAGTTCAGAGGATTGGGGACCCCAGTAGAGAGAAGGGTCAGGTTAATAGAGTGCTCAGATATAAGGAATTCCCAGAGCATAATGAGTCTTGATACTTAAATTTGAGTTTTTAAAAAAGTTCAATGAAATAAATAATTGAAAATTTCAATGAGATTGCTTTCCTTTAAAAACTATGTTTGACTACTGCCATTCTATATTTGAATGCATAATCCAATGTTCACATTCATTTGTATTTGGTCCCTTTAGAGTTTGCTTTACTGACTCCCTATTTTGTTTCCAGATACAGCCGCTCCCTATAATGAGAATCCATGTCTCCAGGCAGCACTCAACATGGCTTTTAATTATGCTTTTAAAATCAACTGTTTGGAGCCCATTTTTGGCTGAATTCTCTTTAAGCAAATCAAAACCCTTATATGTTAAAAGCGCACTAAACTCAGGATCTTATTTCATAAAGTTACTTACAGGTGTAGTTACAGGTGACTTTTCACTGCTTGGAGAATCCACTGTACAGGAAGAAGGGAAAGAAAAAGTAAAGATCACAATGTAAGGAGCTTCTAATAGTTTTTCTTTTTGATTCTATTAGTGGAGTGTGTCAGTTTCAAACCAATTTGTTTTCCCATAAAGCAACAACATTAGGAAATCATCATAAAGCAGACTCCTGAAGTAAGTTGCATCCACCACCGAAAGTTATGTCTGCGATAATGGGACTGATCACATCAATTAGCACTAGGTTCTAGACTAGAAGAAGCAAAAACTATTCCTACGAGTACTGCTTTTAAAGTATCTTGAATTCTGGCTTGGTTTACCAGATCCCTCACCATCCACCACAGAAGGATTACAGAGACACAGTTAACAAGAGAACCCTTACCAAATATGAAAATCACACAGGTTGCCAATGAGTTGATTCTGACTTATAGCAACCCTATCAAGAAACAAAAATACCGATCCCATTGCTGCTAAGGCGAACCCCAACTCAAAGTAATCCTGTCAGAGTAGAACTGATCCAAAGGGTTTTCAAGGCAGTCGGTCTTTACGGAAGCACACTGCCACAGCTTTCTGTGGGTTCTAATTGTCCATCTTTTGGTTAGCAACCAAGCGCTTAACCACTGCATCATCAGGGCTCCTTAGCAACCCAAGAGCTCCTGGTAAATGCTTTTTATCTTTTTTTTTTTTTTAAAGAAAAGAAAAAAATGAAACATAAAATAGATGAATCATTTTCTTTGGAATCTCAAAATTGAAATCAAATTCTCTGAATTTCTTTCTCCCCAGCCTTCATCTTTAATATAATTGATACCTCTGATATATCAAAGCACTGGCTCTTTGCTAACTGTGTGTCAGAAAAAAGCATTTTTCTCTAAAAGCAGAAATGGAGACAAATACCAGGCATCATTGGTTGCCCCCAAAATGAAGGTTTGGTTTTTTTTGCACAAAAGAAATCCAGCTACCCACTATGCTTTTTACCTGACTGGGAGAAAAACTGGGAACGTCGCCAAGAGTTCTGAACTCTAAGCGCCATGCTGGCAGTGCCAAGCGCCTCTAGATCAGATGATAAGACAGAACAAACAGAAAACCATGAAAACAGGGTGAGGGTTGAGTAGAACTATGCTGCTAACTACTAAAAGTTTGGTTACAGTCCAATACATCGATGGCCAAATATACCAATGGAACTGCGACATTGTGCATCTTCTTTGGTGTTGAGTCAAATTTTATAGCCTCACCCTTAATGGTGATATTGCTAAAATGAGAAATCTCAAAATGATAAAAAGATTAGCTATGCAGGAATAAAATGCAGAGTTTATATTGCTTTTGGAAGAGCGTAAAAGACAGCAGAGACAGGTGGTTTGATTAGTAGTTTAAATGCAATTTATGGAGTCCTGGTGTGGTGCTCAAGGCAGGTAGGAAAGTCCGAAGTTATTTTTAAAATGGAAAAAAGAGACAAGTCTATGTCCATCTGCAATGAGGTAGCGCTGGTCATGGAAGCTCATAGCAAACATTTAAATCCTTAAACTATACACTGTGATCTTCTGCCGTCCTTGATGGCAAAGAAAGACATCAATTGTTAGAAAGTGCACAGATTTTACTGAAACACCAATTTAAGATATCTTCATACTGTGGGGTGACAGTTGAGAAAAGGGAACAGGTCATCTTTAAATGTATTTCATGAATATTTTCAGAATATGTCTGTGTGTGTGTGATTAGAGGAAATTGGTAGAACACCACTAGGGTTAACCAGCAGACCCCTGGTCCGTTGGGTCAGTCTATAAACACATAACTTCATAGAAATGGGGGAGATATCACTTTCTGGGGCACAGAACATTAGGTGTAATTTCAGGATTCTAGAGCCTAATCCTACAGTTTCTTTGGGCTTCAGGTGCAACCTCAGACTAGTCCCTTCAATGCTTACTGACTTCAGATTTGGGCAGAGCCCTATCTTTATTTTGTTTTTTTTTCCAATTAAAGATAAATCCTATCTTTTAAGGTTTTGTTTACTAGAGACTTTTATTTCTCAAAGATAGGAATTTATAAACTCCAAACAAGTCCTACTGTTCTTTTCATATCTATCAGAATGTCTCTGGCACAAGGTTCAAGTGAACACTTTACTTCAGCAGTTTCAAAGAACGGTCTCTGTTCTGCAGCACCCACATCCTCTGGGAGCTTGTTAGGTGCTGTTGAGTCCCTTACAACTCATAGGGATGCTATGCACTCCGCACGGAACACTGGCCAATCCTGTGCTGTGCTTACAAGCTTTGTTACTCTTTGCTATGCAACAATGGTTGAAGCCACTTTGTCAATCCATTTTGTCGAGGGTCTTTCCTCTTTGTCACAAACCAATCATGATATTCTTCTGCAGGGATAACTTGTCCAAAGTATGAGAGGTGAAGTCTTGCCATCCTCATCCTTACTCATTGTTCAGCTTTCACATGCATAAGAGGCAACTGAACATGCTATGGCTTGGGTCAGCAGTTGAACAGTTACCTGCTGGTCCATCAGGGCTCTTTTCCCTCATATTGCAGCCACAACATCCTCTAAGGCAGTTCTACCATATCACATGGCAAGGAAGAAAACTGTGGCAGTCTGTTTTCATAAAGCTTATAGCCTTAGACATCCTAAGGGGCAGGTCTACTCTGTCTATTGGGTCTTCCTGAGGAGGAATCAATTTGATGGCAATGGGTTTTGTCTAATGTTTTCTAGGTCTTTCCACAGTGGCACTACTGAGACAACTCAAACCACTGAAGCCAATGGTCTGTCTGTTTCGAATCTCCAGTCTTTCAGTTAGCAGCTTAACTGTTCTGTTACTAGGACTATTTATTCTGAACCTGCTGTTATTGTTAAGTGCTGTTGATTGGTTCTGATTCATAGCAACCCTGTATAGGGTTTCTGAAGAGCAGCTGGTGGATTTGAACCACCAACCTTGCGGTTAAGAGTCCAGTGCTGATCCTGCAGCACCACAACAGGACTCCTACTGTGAAATTCCTAGATTCTATTTGTGAGCACTCATTCTGAAACTTCAGAAGACCACAGAAGGACTGTGGTGTCATGAAGAATATCGAGTATCCAATGCACTACCAGAAGGTCGAACAAATCCGGCTAGAGGAAGCACCATCAGAATGTTCCTTAGAATTGAGATGGTGAGACTTTGTCTCATGTACTATGGACATGTTATTAGCAAAGACCAATTCCTGCAGAAAGAGTAATACAAAGCAGAGAGTCAACAAAGAAGGTCAGCAAAAGAGAAGAAGACCTTCAACAAGGTGTGCTGACACAGTGGCTACAGCAATGGGCTCAACCACAGCAACAACTGTGCTGTGTGCAGGCTGGATAGCATTTCATTTTGTCACACGTGGGTCACTATGAGTCAAAGGCAACTCAGTGGTCAGTTGGTTCAGTCAGTGAAGTGCCTTTGAGTTACTTCTGACTCATAGTGATCCTGTATAGGGTTTCTGAGGAGTGGCTGGTGGGTTTGAACTGCCAGTCTTATAGTCAGCAATCCAATGTTTATCCTATAATGCCACATCTGGACTCCAACTCAATGGCACCTACAAACAACAACAATTCTGAGACTGAGATTGCACTATAAACACTACTTACAGATTTTAAGGTTTATCACATTTAATTTTCCAGTGAGGGTGTTACTATAATTATTTCTATTTTACAGTTAAGGAGTAGAGATAAGGGAGAAGTCTGTTGCTAACTAAACATAGGTAACAACTAGAAAAGCAAATATTTGAATGCAGGCATTCTGTTACCAGAGACTATAGTCATAATTACAGCTTCCATGAATCAGACCATAGACCTGATGCACTTGAGTTATATAGTGTTGGAGGGGAATATTAAAAGTATCATGGATTGTCAAAAGAACAAACAAAATCTGTGTTGGAAGAAGTACAGCCAAAATGCTCTTGGAAGCCAGGATGGCCAGACTTCATTTCTCATACATAGGACACATTATCAGGAGGGACCAGTCCCTGGAGAGGGATATCATGCTTGGTAAAGTGGAGGGTCAGTGAAAAACAGGAAAACTCCCAGTGAGATGGATTGACAAAGTAGCAGCAACAATGGGCTCAAAAGTAGAAATGATTGTGACATAATTTTCTATCTTGGAGAATAACTTCTGATATGTTCCAGTGCTACTACCTTCAATTTTTTAAATCAATTAACTTGGGTAAATCATGAAATAAAGTCCCTTAGTTCAACAACATCTTTTAAAAAATCAAAATGAAGAGGACAGATAACAGGCAACGGACGGCATAACTATATGCTGTTATTGGTAGCTGCTACTGAGTTGGCCCCTGACACATGGCAACCCCATGGAATGGAATGCTGTCAGGTCCTGTCCATCACCACGATTGAGTAAGCATTTGACTACTGTGATCCAGATGCTTTTCAGAAAAGATCACCTGGCCTTTTGTCCTAGTCCATCTTAGTCTGGAAGCTCTGTTGACCCTCGTTTCACATCACAGCACACATAAGCCTGTACTGATGGATGAGTGGCAAGAATAGCACAGGCCACCCTCCCATCTGGAAGGCAAGAACTGAGCCCGCCAATGTCTTACTGTTTAAAATCCGTCTACAGACAATGGCTATCTAAAATGGAGGCAAGAACTGAGCCGCCTCTTACTGTTTAAAATTCATCTAAAGAGATTGGCTACCTAAAATGGAGGAGGGGTGGGGCAGGGAGAGAGGGAGCAATAAAGGCACGAAGTGACTGGCTTACAAGTTTTCAAGAGGGAATTTTGTTTCAGAGTGTGCGGGGGAAGGTAGAGTCCACACTGAATAGTTTTCATCTTGTCTAGATAGGTCTAGTGAAAGGAGAGGAGGATAAGATTCTTATGATTCAATTGTTGTTGTTGTTGTCAGGTGCCATTGAGTTGGAACCGACTCATAGTGACCCCATGCACAGCAGAACGAAACAATGTCCGATCCTGGGCCAACCTCACTACCGCCACCACACTTGACACCATCAATGATGTCACCTGGCTGATCCATCTCGTTGGGGGTCTTCCTCTTTTTCTCTGACCCTCCACCTTACCCAGCATGACATCCTTCTCCAGCGACTGTTCTTTCCAGACAATGTTTCCAAAGTATGAGAGACGAAGCCTAGCCATCTTGGCCTCCAAGGAGCATTCTGGTTGCACTTCTTCCAAAACAGATCTATTGGTTCTTTTGGTAGTCCATGGCACTTTCAGTATTCTCCTCCAACACCACAACTCAAAGGCATCAATTCTTCTACGATCTTCGTTATTTACTGTCCAGCTTTCACATCCATATGAGGTTATTGAAAATACCATGGCTTGGGTCAGGTGCACCTTAGTCCTCAAGGTGACTATTGTGATGGTCACAACCGGAAAGGTGAAGTTTTGTAACAAAAAGCGGGGAGAAGTTAATCTTACAGTCCAGGAACAGAGGACCCTGGGACATAAAGGGAGAAGAGCACGAGCAGAATGTGGGACCCTATCCAGAGAATTAGTGACACCAGAGATGGAGGCAGAGATGAGGACATGGAGAAAGGGAGCAGCTGAGGAATCTAGATTCATGGAAAAAGAAAGGCTGTGTGCTAGAGGCCAGGAGGTTGTTTAAATGATTATTTATTTTTAAAAAAATTGGTCTAACAATAGCCAATTGCTGTCACAGTTTTGAGACAGTTTTTGTCAACTCCTTTCAGGACATTAGAATAGAGCAATCTGAAACAAATGTGTTAAAGATATGATTGAATGTGGTTCCATATAAAGAAACTAGTGACCAGCAGAACATATACCAGTTGACTCCCTCCCAAGTTCTTCTTGTTAGATAAAGCCCAGCTTATTTCTCAACGATTGGTTAAGGAAGACAATAAATTCTTCCAATGGTGGCCTCAAATAGGTACAGATCTATGAAAATGTGCAGCCACAGTATCTATACCATCCTTTCTCTTGGCCTGAACTGATAAGTCAAATCTATAAAATGTATGTGACAAAAGATAAAAGCAAGACAAAACAAAACAAAAACCACCTTACAGTTCTTGCCTCCTGAACTATAGCTGTATCTGCATCTAGAAAGACAACTCAAACCAGCCTCCATTCCGTTATGGCATTCACAAGACCCATCCCCCCTGGCCCTATCCCTAGGAGTCATTTGTGGTGATTGTGAGAAGCTAAGTTTCTCACCATGCTCAAGTGATTTACACTGGGTTCTTAAAGACTAACGGGATGAAGCTACATCTACATTATTGTTGTTGTTTATTGCTGTGGAGTGGGCTCTGAACTCATAGTAAGCAACTCTGTATAGGGTTTCCAAGTTTTCAGTCCAGTGCTGATTCTACAGTGCCACACCAGGAGTCCTATGTGGTCCCAGATCTACATGTGGCCCCCAAATACTTGGGAAGATTGTGGTGGGTTGTACCATTGAAAACCATTAGAGACTTTGATATTTTAGTGTTCCCTCATGTATCAGGACTCCTGGTGTGGTGCTGTGGGATAAAGCACTGGCCTGCAACGTTGGTTTGAACGGAAAGGTCGGCTGTTTAAACGCACCAGCCATTCATTGGAAACGCTATACAAGGTTGCTATGAGGCAGAACCAGCTCAACAGCACTTAACAACAACAACAACAACTCATATATCAAGGACTCCTGATGTGGCCCTGTAGGATCAGCATTGGATTGCAAACTACAAGGTTGGCACTTCAAACCCACCAGCTGCACCTTGAAAACCCTATACAGGGTCGCTATGAGCCAGAACCTACTCAATGGCACTTAACAACAACAACAACACATATCAAATACTTGTGTGGGTCCTCCACCTCTTTCCACATTTTATCAAACGTATTAAAATACATCAAGTATATAAAGCATAATAAAATGTATGCTCAACACACACATTTTTTCCTTTCTGTGAAGATTAAGATTTTTGGCTCTGAGTCACAGGTTTAATCTATGTTCATTATTGTTAAGCATCGTAGAGTCAGTTCCAATCCACAGCAACCCTGCATAGGGTTTCTGAGAATGCCTGGGGGAGTTGAACTACTGGCCTTGTGATTAACAGTCCAATGCTCATCCTACAGTGCCACATCAAGGCTTTTAATCTATGTTCAGCCATCATGGACTCTGGAAATCACCAGAGTTACAAGAAGGCCAACTTAAAGGAATAATAACCCTTTACAGTAAAGAATGTTTTACTATAGACAGGCCTAGCCAAAACACGTAGAACTAAAATAGAGTTCCTTCTCTTTACCTTGAGAATTGAGATTTGGCAAATGTAGTTGGTTGGTTTCAGGCATTTGGTCCTGCAATGGAAATGTCAGGGTTGCTTCTGGTTCTGGAGATTTTGGCTTCATTACCTGGAAAATGGGGCAACAGAAAATGACATTTAAAGATTGTCCATTAGCAAATACACAGGTGAAATCAAATGGAAGGGTCAGTAACTCAAACACTTAACTTTTATTTATTTATTTATTTATTTTTTGACTTAAAATAATTTATTATTTTTGCTGTTGAGAATATACAAGCAAGAATATACCAGTTCAATAGTTTCTATACGTAAAATTCAGTGACGTTGATTATATTTTCCAGTTGGGGTTACCTTCCTTTTCTAAGTTAGCCTGTCTCTATTAACATAAGCGCTGACCCTTATGATTCTTTCACCATGCTTATTCAATCTGCATGCTGAGCAAATAATCCAAAAATCTGGATTATATGAAGAAAGATGTGGCATCAGGATTGGAGGAAGACTTATTAACAACAATATGCAGGTGATACAACCTTGCTTGCTGAAAGGGAAGGGGACTTAAAATGCTTAACTGATGAAGATCAAAGCCCACAATATTCAGTATGGATTGCATCTCAATGTAAACACTTAACTTTTAAACACATTGTTTGCTCCTTTCCAAACCCCCTTGATGCTTTTCTGCATTAACAAAGCAGTCAGTTTTTCAAGAAATCAAACTATAGTATAAAAATTGATGATTAGGAAACAGTATTCCATCTCTGAATTGTACCCCTTTCCCTCTTCACTTTCTTATTAGACTTATCACATAGTCTCTTCTTGGTACTACATCATACTGAATTTGTTATGTCAGGGGGAAATTATATCTTCCTCTGTAAGTGCTAAGTGTTTCTGTAAGAAAGCAGTATTTCTTTTCAAAAGACATTATCCTCAAAACATTACCTACACGCAAACTTATGTAAAGCACACTGCAGGAAATGTATGAGCTTGTTGAAGACAATATGAGTCGGTTCACATAGAAACATTACTCTAAAGAACCGTTATCAATCAGTGTTATAGCAATGACGCCTTCAGGGGAATGCTGTGGCTTCAATCACTTGTCCTTACGGCTCCAAAGTGACAGGCTTTTATAATCCTTATGTTTGCATTGCAAAAACAGACTTTGTTGTTCCTGTTATTTCATTTTGTTTTCTTCTCAATCTAAATGGCCTTCCTCCTTGTGTGATTTGTTCCTTCTAATTAACTGACTGCTGAAATGTATTAAAATAATGTGTAAAATAGGACTCTCAACTTGAAAGGTCTGAATGAAGAGCGTGTGGGCATCCTTTCACGTAGCTATGTGACTTTCTAATTCACTCTCTGGCTGTCCGTTGTGTTTCTGTTAGATTAATTTGATAGCTAAGGGACTTCAGGTCGAGTGAGGATGCAAAATTCTTATTTCATAAACTGATCCATGATTTGGTCCTCAGGATCATTTAATGAGTAGAATTTCTTCTTATAGAATTTTGTTTTTCTTTATGAATCATACGTTCAACTCTATGGGGACCCTGAAGATAATGTAGTTAATCACCTCTTTTGCCATGATATGTGTTGACCAGATGTCCAAATGAACAAACGGCAAAAGTGAAGGCCTAGAATTATCGAAGTTAATGACCTCCAAATCTTAATTTTATACCTCACACCACAGAGACAGACAGTAATACATTTCAGGTAATGTCTTCTTGTAAACAAAACAGTTGATAGCAAAAATGCTCAAAATCACCTTTGTAAAAAGATCAGCCTGGATGCATGGCTGCTTTTTAAAAACAGAAGTAATATGTACACTCTTTCCTCCCTAACAGATACAGTTAGGTTCCAAAGACCACAGGTCATCATGCAAAAATAAGTGCAATGCAAAAATGTAGGATGGCCATATCATTACATAACTGCCAAACCCAGTCAAGTTGACACATAACCTTAACCATCACAACCAATGTTATTCTTTTCTCATAACTTGCCATTCATTACTGTCAGACATATATCATTAATTTAAATACTTGGATAGTACATTTTTTTACTATATAGTCATAAATGCAGTATGTTGGATAATAAGAGAGTCAGTAAGGGAGGAGAAGCTGTACCCTGAAGTGAAATCAGAAAAGTCAATTACAACTACTATGATTATCTTTCTCCCTTGAATGAATGGGACAAAAAGAGCTAATCAAACATTAGGGAAGAGTTAGGGACATGAGAAAGGGGAGAAATTCACTTGGTCTAAGTAAGAAAAAGATTGGGTCCAAAGATCATTATTTCATTTGTTAAATGATTAGCAAGGATTCTTAACCTGGGGTGCATGGAAAACGTCAGTGGGTCTATCATCCTGGTCCCATGAGATACCAAGGATAGTTGGGTAATCTGGAACATTTTATTTTATGCATTTAAAAATATTTTGAGAATGATATCTAACAGATGGCCAAAGAAGTCTATTGTGAAACAAATACAAACACAAAAAGCCCTGAAAACAATTCTTCCCAAAGTCAGTTTACATTCAAAGATGGATCATACAGGGGAGTCACGCAGATTAACAGTTTTCAGTTCTGGTATTCTTTTTATGTTTATGTGTGTTTTCAACTCTAGCACTGATATAAAGGTTTCCTTTCAGTGTACGCTAAAAAAAAAAAAAAAAGTGAGTTTGGAAGAATGATAAATAAATACATAACAAGTGAAATGTAGATAAGCCAAAACTAACAAATGTGGGAAATCCTGATGGCCTCACTGGTTGATGGTTTATTTCCCCTTTGTGGATTTCCAGACCACTATGTAATTCTCTGTGCACAAAAATGGCACTAGAATACCCTAGAGGCATCAAGGCAACAGGCATTTTTGAGGCTGGACTAAGGATGCAGTCAGTGCTTTTAGCTCCTTAAGGCCAGTGGCTAGGTCCTCTTCACTGCTGAATAGCCAATGTCCAGTACAGTGACTGGCCAAGAGTAAGTGCACAATTGATATCGATGGAGTAAATGAATGAATGAGCTGGAACAAGAAGAGGTAAAAATTTCACTCAAAGTCAAATTCCAATTTAGGAATCCTTTTAAACAGTGAGATATCCCACACACATATTGCATACCAGTGTGTAAGTCAGTAGTACACTACATTGGTGGAATCATCTGGGAACTTGATAAAAATACAGATGCAGAGATCCTTATTTATTCTGTCTGGAGTGAGCTTAGTAATTTTTTAATTCTAAAGTGTGGCTAAGGTTGAGAACAACTGGCATAAATGAAGAGTTTTTGACTCTGTACCTAAAAACTAGTGGGAACAAGACTGAACAAGGAAGAAATTTAATACAAATGAGATTTTAAAAGTCAATATGGCTGAACAGTAATGTTCTAGGTTCCACATGTTTCAAATTGAGAGGCAGCAGAAATACCAATACTGAAGGGGTGGGTGCAGCAGTCTACATTTTAACAAGACCTCCTGATGATTCTGTTGGTCCCTAACGCTTGAGAACCACTGCTCTAAACTGCTGCTCAACATGCTAAAACCTTATAATGGGACAAATTTAGCAATAGAGACTTGGTATTCATTCCCTACTGTTTGAATATTACACTATGCTGAAACCTATGCAATTTGCCACTCTCTCACTTATACTTCTCACATGTTAAAAGGGGACTTAAAATGCTTAACTGATGAAGATCA